TGATAAAAATTTAATATTTTAACTATTACATTTTAAAAGGGTATTATAATTATTATAGGAATTCTTGATATACTTATAATGTATTTTGTTAAAGTATTTTTATTTATATAAGATTTAAAATTAAATTTTCATTAAATAATAAAAAAAATATGATGGACATACCATAGTAGAATTTTTTTAAAAATTAAAATCATCATGAATTAACAAATATATCTTTAAAAAATTGTAATTAAAGTTGGATTAGTTAGTTGGGAGGGGGGAATAAAAACGGAAAAAGAAGAGTGCGTGGTGCGGTGAAATTAAATTTAATGAAGGATGGTAAAAAATGTTAGGTTGAAATTAATTAATAAGGGAAGAAAAAAAATAAAACGGTATATTTACCAAATAAGAAAAGTATTGACATATGACAACAAAAAAGTATATTAAGAAAGGCTTGTAAAAGTGACACTTGGCATGACTTACCTTGAATGGTTTCTAGTTTAATATATGGCAACAAAAAAGTATATCAAAAAGGAATTGTAAAAGTAATATTTGGTATTACTTATCTTGTATGATTTCTGCTTTATTATATATCGATTAGTATTATCAAAAACTGCTTGTGGGTTGTTAGAATGTGTTTTTTTTTTAAAAGAAGGAAAAAAATTTATTATTAAAAATAGATAATAAAATAAAATATATGAAAAAGTGTAATATTAAATAATTAATTTATGAATATTTTAATATTTTAGGATAAAAATTTGTGAAAAGGTGGTGATATAGAGATAATATTTTTTTACCATTTTTTTCTATAATTTTTATATATTATTAAATGAGTAAATACATTAATATTATAGGTTCTAAATGAGTAAAAAAAACTAATTATTTAAATGATATATAAAATTGTACAAAAAAATAATACCAAAAGGTTATCCTAATTTATTTTCCTTTGTAAAATTAAGATTGTTCCTATCAAATTTTTAAAGAGTGTCTTTAAGTAATTAAAAGTTTAAAATTTCAAGTTGATGACATTGAATTCAAATTTTAAGATTATATATTAGAAATATTTTACCTTTATTTCAAGTTGTTCCTACCAAAAATGGTTATTACCTTTATTTTTTAGAAAAATATTTTATAAATAAGATTATATATTAGAAATACATTTCGTTTTATAAATTTATTAAAAAAAATTTAATAAATTTATTTTTTATATTTTTTTAATAAAAATATTTCAAAAAATTTATAAAATAAATTATATTTTTAATATACAATTT